CAGACATGAAAAGTTACACAACGTCACACCAATCATCATGGAAATGCAAATCAAACCGCAATGAGCTATCAACTCACAGTGGCTAGAATGGCTATTATAAGACAGGAAATAACAAGTGTTGCCAAGCATGTGGAGAAAAGGGAGCTCTTGTGCACTGTTGGTGGGAATGTAAAATGGTGCAGCACTGTTGGTGGGAATGTAAAATGGAAAACAGAATGGAGTTTCCTCAAAAAACTGAAAGTGGAAATACCATACAACACATTAATTCCACTTGTGGGTATTTACCTGGCAATTCAAAAAGATAGATGCACCCACTGTGTTTTTACTACAGCTAGGTTATAGAAGCATTAGGTACCCATGGATAGATGATGGGACAAGAAAGATATGGCATATATACACAGTGGAAAATTACTTATCATACAAAAGAATGAAATCTTGCCATTCATGACAACATGGTAGACCTAGAGGGTATTATGTTGAGTGAAATAAGTCAGAGAAAGACAAATTGCGGTATTATTTCATTTTTATGAAGAAATGAAACACAAACCAGAAATAAAATCATAAAGGTAGGAAACAAACCAGTGGTTGGCACAGAGGAAGAGCTTGGGGGGATTGGCAAAATAGTTGATGGGGATAAACTTACAATTAGAAAATAAGTTACAGGGATGAAAAGTACAGCATAGGGAATATAGTCAATAATAATGTAATAACCTGGTATGGTAACAGATGGTAACTATGCTTATCCTAGTGAGTATTTTATAATGTACATAATTGCCTAACCATTATGTTTACACCTGGAACTAATGTACTTTTTTAAATTAAAAAAAGTTACAATGTGAGAAAATAGAAAATCTCACTTTAAAGGTAAATACATAGTAAAGGTTACGGATTGTTCACTATAAAGTTAAAAGATCTAGTAAAAATAATTATAACTGCAGTAATTAATTAATTAGATGATAAAACAATTCAAAATGTGACATCAAAAACCAAACATGGGAAATAAATAAAACAACTTGTTATCAACTTAAAACGGACTACTATGTATTTAACATGGATATATCATGGCAACCATAGTAAAAAATCCTATAGTAACTACACCAAAGATAAAAGAGAAAGGAACCAAAGCCTACCACTAAAGAAATTGATCAATCCATAAAGGAAGACAGCAAGAGAAGAACAGAGAGAAACCACAAAATAGCCAGAAAACAGTTAACAAAATGGAAATGAGTACACACCTAACAGTAATTACTGTAAGTGTAAATGAACCAAATCCTCTAATGAAAAGACATAAGAGTAGTTGTATGGATTAAAATACAAGACCCACCTACATGATGCCTACAGGAGGTTCACTTCAGATATAAGGACACACAGAGACTGAAAGTGAAGAAATGGAAAAATATATTCCATGCAAATGGAAACCGAAAGTAAGCTTGGGTAGCAATACCTAAATCAGCCAGAACAAACTTTAAAATAAAGACTGTAAATAGAGACAAAGAAGGACATTACATAGTGATAAAGGGTCAACCCAACAAGAGGATGTAACAATAAATATTTATGCACCCAAGGTAGGAGCACTTAACTATATAAGCAAGAATTAACAGACCTAAAGGGAGAAATAAACAGCAATACAATAATAGCAGGGAACTCTTAATACCTCACTTACATCAATGGGTAGATCATCTAGACAGTAAATCAATAAGGAAACATTGGCCTTAAGTGACACATTAGACCAGATGGACTCAACAGTGATCTACATAGAACATTCCATCCTCTAAGAGAGTACACATTCTTCTCAAGTGTACCTAGAACATTCTCCAGGAGTAAATATGTTGAAATGAGAGAAGTCTAATTTCCAAAGTATACAGAGACTCCACAAGAAAATTCCAAGCCAATATCCCTGATGAATAGATGCATATATTTGTAACATAATATCAACAAAATGAATTGAACAATAAATATATTAAAAGGATCATACAACAAAATCAAATGTGATTTATCTAAAGATGCAAGGATGGTTCAACATCTGTAATAAGTTAGAGTGATTCACCACATTAACAAAATAAAGGATGAAAGTTATATGATCATCTCAATAGATGCAGAGACAGCATTTGACAAAATTCAACATCTACTTGTGATAAAGACTTAACAAAATGGATACAGAGGGAACATATCTCAACATCATAAAGGCCATATATTGCAAGCCTACAGCTAACAACATACTAAACAGTGAAAAGCTTAAAGCTTTTCTAAGATCAAGAACAAGACAAGGATACCCACTCTTGCCAGTTCTTTTCAGTATGTTATTGGAAGTCTTAGACATAGCAATTAGTCAAGAAAAAGACATGGAAGGCATTCAAGCTGTAAAGAAAGAAGTAAAACTGTCACTATTTGTAGATGACATGTATCACTATATATAGAAAACTAAGAATAAGGTAATTCAGAACAGTTCCAGGATATAAAGTCAATATACAGAAATCTATTTCCTTTGTATATTATTTTTAATTGGAATAAAGTTTTTATACAATGTTACACTGGTTTCAGATGTACAACATAGTACTTCAATAATTATATACATTATTAGATGCTTGTGTTGTGTTTCTATAGATTGATAACAAAGTACCAGGAAGAGAATTAAGAAAATATTCCCATTCTCAGTTACACCAAAAAGAATAAATACCTAGGAGTAAATTTAACCAAGGAAGTGAAAGACTTAGACACTGAAAACTATTAAGACACTGATGAAAAAAATTGAAGACTCAAATGTATGTATTAGAAGAAGTAGGATTGTTTAAATATCCATACTGCCCAAAGCAATCTACAGATTGAGTGCAGTCACTATCAAAATTCCAGAGGGGTTTTTCACAGAAATAGAATAAATCCTAAAATTTCTATGGAACCACAAAAGGCCCCAAATAGCCAATGTGATCTTGAGGAAGAACAACAGGGCTGGAGGGAGGCATCACACTCCCTGTTCTCAAACTGTATTTCAAAGCTTTTAGAAATCAAAACAGTGTGGAACTGGTATAAAAACAGACACATAGATCACTGGAACAGAATAGTGAGCCCAGAAATAAACCCATGCATATATTGTCAATTTACAACAAAGGAGCCATGACTGCACAGTGGGGAAAGGATAATATCTTAATAAAATGATACTGGGGAAAACTTGACAGCCATATGCAAAAGAATACAGCTAATTAACTCAAAATGGATTAAAAAGTTGAATATAAGAACCTGAAAACAAAAACTCTTAGAAGGAAAAAGGTAGTGAGCTCCTTGGCATAGGTCTTGGTGGTGATTTTTTACTCTGACACCAAAAGCAGCAAAAGCAAAAATAATAAACAAGTAGAACTATATTAAACCAAAAATTTCTGCACAGCAAAATAAACCACCAAAAACATGAAAAGGTAACTGACTGAATGGGAGAAAATATTTGTAAATCATATGTCTAATAATAGGCTAGTATCTAAAACAAATAAACTCAGTAGACAAAAATAAAAGTCAAACTAAAAATGTACAGAGGATCTGAAAAGACATTTTTCCAAAGAAGGCATGTAAATGGCCAACAGACACATACATGGAAGGATAGTCAACATTACTAATCATTAGAAATATTTCAAATCTAACCTATAATGAGTTATCACCCCACACCTGTTGATATCAAAAACCAAAGAAATAACTGTTGCTCAGGATGTGGGGAAAAAGGACCCTCATGCAATGTTGGTGAGAATGTAAATTGTGCAGTTACTAAGAAAAACTTAGTAAGGAGGTTCCTCAGAAAATTAAAAATAGACGTGAGCACAGATGTGAACTTTCTGCACAGCCCTATCAAGCGTTCAGATTATGTATAAGCCCTAATCCTTAATTTAACCCAGCAGTTCCATTTCTAGGTATTTATCCAAAGAAAACTTAAACATTAACTTGAAAGGATACATGCACACCTTTGTTCAATGGCCAAGATGTGGAAACAACCTAAGGATCCATAGATGGGTGAATGGATAAAGATGTGGTGTGTGTGTGTGTGTGTGATGGAATATTACTCAGCCATAACAACAAATGAAATCTTGCCATTTGCAACAATATAGATGGACCTGGAGGGTATTACATTAAATGAAATAAGTCAAAGACAAATACCATATGATTTCATGTATATGTGCAATCTAATAAAAACAAATGAACAATAAAAAAACAAAGCAGCTCATAGATACAGAAGACAGATTGGTGGTTGGAGTGGGTGAAGGGAGTCAAAAGGCACAAACTTCCAATTATAGAATATAAGTCATGGAGATGTAATGTACAGCATGCCTACTACTATAGTTCATAATACAATATTAAATATTTGACAGTTACTAAGAGTAAATATTAAAAGTTGTCATCACAAAAATTTTTTTATAGTAATGCAAGGTGACTGATATTAACTAGACTTATAATCAGTTCACAGTGTATACAAATACTGAATCATCATGTACGCTTTCAATTAATGTTACATGTCAATTATACCTCAATAAAAAAGAAAAGCCAAAATTAAGGATTAGGGTTTGTACATAATCTGAATGCTTGACAGGGCTGTGCAGAAAGTTCACATCTGTGCTCATGATCAGGCTAGATGCCTTGTGAGGACCTGGTCAACACTGTGTCACGTGACTCCGAGACGTATACTGAAATTGTCTTCAATTGTGAGGCCAAATTTTATTCTCTTGTTTTGGTATTGAACTTTTTTTGGCAACAGATTTTAGTTTTTTGATAAAGTAAAAATGCTCTAAAATTAGACATTAGCAAGGAGTTGGCTAGCATCTTCTCCACTGTGGAAGTCTCTGGCCTACCCAAGGAGTCTCTCTGCCTGCCTTTACTCACTTGCTGTGCAGAAGGGACATGGTAAATGGGGAGAGCAAGGCACATATTTATTTAAAGCTGGTCAGATCGTTTTTTGTAAAAGTCATATGACAGGTTTTCTGATTTCTTTCATATTGTGTTAAACAGTAACCTTTTTGTTTTTGCAGGGGATAATCTCGGCCAACAGTACAATAGCCCACAAGAAGTTATCGGCAGTCGTGGTTCTGATATCATCATTGTAGGCCGGGGCATACTAACATCAGCACATCGTCTGGGGGCAGCTGAGATGTACAGAAAAGCTGCTTGGGAAGCGTATTTGAGTAGACTTGATGTGTGAGTGTCTTGGATACATTTCTGTGAAGGCTGGAAGATGCAGTCTGCTGAGATGCACTGGCTTGAAATAATAATACTGCTTGGCTTCTTCCCCTGGTCCTGCGTTGGAATGACTTCTGGATAACCACAGTCTTTAGGGCAAATTGAACTTGTAATCCCTGCCTGTATGTTCATTTTCAAGCCTTCTTTTACTGAGACTGATGTTGATTAGGCACTCACAGTCCTGTTTTGGGGCCTTCCATGTTTGAGGATCCCCCATTTCTAGATCAAACTTCTTCATTGCCATGACACTTTTATCATATGAGGTTAAAACCAGTACCGCATTTCTTGTGTCCTTTATTCTGTGTCTAATGCAATGCCCAAACAATATGTAAATATGAGCTGTTCTTTTCTACTTAAAAGTGATGGTCCAGGTATGCAAATGATACTGATTCCAGAACTGCTGTTGCTCACTCACCAGGAGCGACATGGAGAAGTGGGACTAGCTGAGCCTGAACCCAAAACCTGGCTTTCATTTGAACAGATGGAGAGGGCTTCTGGCTTGTTTCTTCCCACAGGCAGCAGTTGTGGACCTGTGCTGAAACCTCTTACAGCTTCCTTTTGCCTTATTTGAATTACAAATGGACAAGCTGCTCCTTCATTTATTTAAAATAACTGCCGTGTCAAGATACCTAAGGTTCCATTTGGAGGTTTGCTTAAGAATCTTCCTACATAATTGTCCTGACATTGGCCAGAAGGGAAGTCAGCTTTCACTGGAAATAGAGGGAAGTGAGCCCAGCAACTGAGCTGCGCTGTTATCAAAGTTTCTGTGTTTCCACAGCACAGGGGCTGGGGACACCCCTTTCCTCACAGGCCCTACCTTCATACAGGGCATGACCAGTTAGGCAACACTTTATTCACTTCGGTCCCAAATGCACTGTTTCTCCCCAAAACTCCTGAGTTTCTGGACAATCCCTCTTCTCTAATACTAACATAAGATGTTTCCCATTTTTATGTCTTTGGTCTATTCAGGAAGCATCTTGGAAGGAAATCAAAGGTGTGGTGGGTTCAGATGGCCATTTAAAATGGCCCCATTCAAGGCCCTGGTTGAGCAGGGTCAGGGTGGCAGTGTAACTTGAAGGCTCTGAGTTCTGATTCTGCCAGCACACTCACGCTCTGCCCGTGCTGCTTGCCCGGGTCAGGCCTTAGGCAGGGCCAGGTGGGAGAGGACTCTTGCCGTTTCCTTATGCTGATAGCTCTTCCCTCCTTGACTGCCCCCCTCTGTTCTCAAAAGACTCAGGTAGATGAATTCAGCTCATGTTTTTATTGTTCCCTCTTGGAGTTTACCCTTAACAGCTTCTGCTCTGAAGTCCAGCTTGAGCTTCAGGACCCAGTGCTGCATTTCCAGAGAAGTTCCCTCTGGAAAGGGTAGATTATCAAGGAAAAACGCCAGGACAGGGAAGGGGCATAGCCCTGGGTCTTCTCTGGAGGAGCAGAAAGTTAGGAGGTGGAGGATAATTTCCTAATAAAAACTTGTAAAATCTCTGCAGTCTTTGAAGTCTCGGTGAGCTTGTCTGACACGGAGACCTTTGGAGTGATGTGCTGAGGGCTCAAAGTGCCCCCCAGTGGGCTCACTAGGTCTGGGTCCCAGGGTGCAGGGTGCGTCAGAGTCCCTGGAGCCTTGTTAAATCAGGGGCTGGCCCAGCATTTCAGACTGGTGGGTCTACAATGGCGCCTGAAAACCAGTTCTGGCGATACCAGTGCTGCTGGTCCAGGAGCCTATTTGAGAACTATTCTGCTGGTCAGCCACGTTTCTTCTTGGGATCTGCCACCCTCTCCTGCTGTCAGCCACTCCTGGCCCACATCAGGATGGGGGCACTGCCTGTTCTGTTACTGAAACTCACCCCCCCACCACATACCCCTGCCCTGCTAGGTAACTTTAAGGGAAATGAGAGGAGCATCAGAGAATCACCTAGTCCCTGCCATCAAAAATCTGCTTCAGATTTGGGGTGAGATCTGGAGATCTGCGTTCTGACAGAGGCCTCAGGTGCTTTTAGTTTTTCTTGAGACTAAACCCAGTGCCGCAGTCCTCTTAAAAAGCTCAGATTGGTGTCATACAACTTTGGAGCACAAACTGATTCAAAGAAGAACTTGGACTCTGAGCATTATAACACTTGGTCCTAGTAAAGAAAATGGGAACAGTCCCCACAGGGCGCCAAGAACATGTTAGACTAATGGAGGGGAGAACTCTATCCCCTGGCCTCCACCAATACTCTAGGCATTTAGTGGAGTATAAGCTAACCAACTTGTACTGCTGCAGGAACCCAAGAAACCTAGTCCAGCTCCCCGTCCTTAAAGTGTAGACCCAGAATGGTAAAGGGATCTGCTCCCAGCCAGCATGGCAAACACTGTCCTGGAATCTCAGACTCAACTCCCAACCTCACTTGTGCTAATGTGAGTCATCTCTAGGAAAAGCCGCCTACAGCAGCCCCTGGGAACTGTCTTAAAGTCTCTGAAAAAGGCATGGAGGGTGAAGATGGCAGCTGGAGAATACCTTTAATGCTCTTTTTCTCCCAACTTCCCCACTCTTCACCCACCTCTGCTGAACAAAAAATGGCTGCTGGGTCCATGCAGGCAAGGTTGGAAGCATGACTGCAGGCTCAGCCAGAATCAGCGAAGACAGGTGTGGGGTATTGTCGCCACTAAGGTAGGTGGGAGCAAGGAAAAGTAGAGGAGGGACTCAGGACTTGAAGAGTGCTGTGTGCGTGTGTCTGTACCCGCACGCACACACCTCAGGACCCACTGGATCTTCCTGGCCCAGGAGGAGCTGGTTTCAGACAGCCTCTCCCTGTTAGTGCACTGCTGGCCACCCACCAACCATGGGTTTGCTGCTATGAGGGTCCACCCACCTCTCAAGGTGTACAGAGCCACGGGAAGGCAAGAGAAAGAAAACACCTGAGGAAATCCAGCAACCAGGGGAGGAAAGCAAAGAAATGCACCTGCAACGGGGGTGAGCCCCAAGGTGGCAGGGATTTTTCCCTCGTGTTTATTGAGTATTCTCTGCACCTGGGACTGCCCAGCAACTGTTTCCGAATGACTGTGAGCATGAGTGACCTGCCACAGGATACACCCCACTTCAAAGGCTAAAATAACAAAATAATTTTTTGTTTGGGAAATGAGAAAAATATTTGAATTTGAAATTTTGATGGAAAAACTTAAAGATATGATAATAATGAGAACTACATTTGTGGGCTAGAAGATCAAGTAGAATATCAAAATTCAAAATAAGGGGACAAAGAAATGTAAATGATGGAATATAGGAGAGCCTTAGAGGAGAGATCTATGAATAAAAGATGTAAGGAGAGAAAAGAAATATAGAAATGACTGAGGTAAGTTTCCACAGATTGAAAAAATACTTGAGTCTGCAGATTAAAAAGGGCCCACTAAGTTCTAGGCAGAAGTTTTGGACAAATTCATACACCTAGGCATATCCTGTTAAAAATTATGAACTTTAAGGAAAAATTTTACAAGTATCTAGAGAAATAAATTAATTGCAAAGTAAAAAGAATCAGATTAGTAGCAGACTGGCATTTAACACTGGAAGCTTGCAGGCAGGCAGTGATTGACAGGCCCTGAGAAGAAAAGACTATCAGACCTGGTAATCCTGAACCCCCCTTGGTTTATAGCAACCTGATTGTGAGGGTTCTTGTCCTCCCTATAGCCTGCCAGTGGTGCACTTCAGTGCCACAACTCTGCGGTCTAGGGAGTGAGATCTATCTAGCAGGTGCCTTGCAAAGGGCTCCCCAGGTATAGAGGCTGGTCATGCAGAAATAGAGTAGGCTTCCTTTGCCTATAGAGACAGGATCAGTCAGCAGCTGAACTGGGACTATATACCAGAATTTTAGGAAGCTGAAATTAGAAGCCCATCAGAGACCATCTAATCCAATCATCCCTTTTCACAAAGGGAGGAATTGCAGCCCACTGAGAAATGATCTGCATGAGGTTGCAGATATGCTGACTGCAAGCAAAGAAGGGATGAGAATTCCTGCCTTTGACTCCAGTTTGGTACTTTTGCTATTAACACTCTTCTTACCCCCTTTCTGTATATGTAGCTATCCTCAACTTTTTTATCCATTTATGTCTGTATACAAATATGTAGCTATACATGTACATAACATTATTTCACCATTTAACCCAAGATTTACTGAACACAGGAAGTGAACCAGACATACTGGTTCATTATGGCCTGGTTATTATGGAACTTAGTTTCTAAACTTTCTGTAGGGCTTCCATACAACCATGAGACAGCAACCAGTCTTTCCTTCCTATTGGTCATGACTCAATAGAAAGTACCAAAACTGAAGTGGCAATTCTGCCAATCCCCACTCTTCTCCCCTCCCTGAATCCATGCACTTTGCCAAGTGACTCAGCATTTCCATTCAAGGCAGAGAATATTTCCATACCCCACTAATGTTGGGCTTTGGCTAGTGGAATGTGGGTGTGGGTGACAGGGAACTGGTTCTGAGCCCAGGCTTATGTGTTTCAGCTCACCCCTCTTTGACTTCTGCCACCATGAGATGATTTCTGGTTAGCCCACATGTCTCAGAAGAATAAGGGGAAGTAGAGCAGAGCCATACCAGCCTTCCACAGCCCGATGCACAAGGGCCGCAGCCAGGCTGTAAGCCTCTGAGCAGTACTCTGGGCAGAGGCAGAGACAGGTGCATTATGGACCTGCAGACTGCTGGGTGCCGACATGATGATAGTGTTCAGCCCACTGCCATGAGAATAAAGCTGGGTGTAAACCCCTTTACCCCAAGAATGTTCTGTTATTCCTCAGTCTCACAGAATCCAAAAGGAATGTGGATAAAATGAAAGTTCCTGTGGCCAGGATTCTCACCTGGCCCTGTTTGGCTAGCTGACTATATGTGTAGGCAATACGTTGTTACTGACTCTATATAAAGAGCTCCGTCCAGTGCTCTGGACAACATGCTGGCACGGCTGCAAGGCTGCAGGAGAGCAGAGCAGAGGCTCGAGTGGGGGCAGCGCCAAGGACAGAGGCCCAGAGGCAGAGACCGGCTTGCTGCAGGCAGACTCGCTCTGAGTGAATGGGATTTTAGTAATTGTTCTGCCACCATGGAATAAAGTTGGGTATAACCCTTCCACCCCAAGAACGTTTTCCTGTCATTTTCTTTGGTCACATTGAATCCACAGGGAACTTGGCCCGGGGCTGAAGCCCTCAGGCAAGACAGCAGGGAAGCCAGCCAGCACCCAGGCCAACCCAAGTGTCACCTCTGTGGAAAGGAGTGTTTGAAGTATTGAATTTTGTGTCAGGAATCAGAAAATTTGTGTCAACTGTCATCATCCCTCACTTTTTAAATAGAAAAATTCCTTGAACTGGACCTGGAATTTTGGTGATCAGTGTGCATATGCCAGAGATTGTTCATCTGATGGGGATGAGAGAAAAAGGAGAGGTGGGGAGACATTAACTTCTCAGTCCGCACAGAGGTACCGGATTTTATTTCAGTAGAAATGTGTGCCTCCAACGCAGAAAGTCAGACAACTCCCGCAGAGTTCTGGAATAAGACAAGACAGTCATGCTTTTTCCAGAAAAGCATCCAACTAGAGAAGGTATCTCTGAGCTGGAGTTTCATGCGCCAAACCTCACTCCAGGTGTGTCTGATCGCCACCCCTCCCATTTTAGGTGGGAACAACCTTCCCTGAGTGCCACCTGGGCCAATTGTGAGGGTCCAAATGAGAGGCTGCTTTTAGTCGAAGGGCTTTTGTTTTTTATGCAGGTATGAACAATAAAGCTTTAATTGGTGAGCCTTCCAGTGTTTTCTGAAGGCAAACTAAGATGGTAGACACTAACCAGTCACCCTGATAAGAAGGTCCAGACTTTTTAGAATGTTGCCTATTTACACAATTATAAGCATTATAAGACCCCTGATAAGGGGTCTGTAAGCCTAAAGGGTCCATGACCCCAAAAGGTTAAGTACTCCTTTCTGAGAAGGTCACTGGGGCTTATGACCCTACGGTTACTTACAGTTTATAGAGCTTGCCTTTCTGCAGCAAGAATTTGAGGCTGCTTAACTAAAGATATTATGCAGAACACCTGTCAGAAGGATCAGAAAGTATGTGTGGAAGGGGAGGCAGGCTAAAGAGGGTCAATGGAAGGGTCTGGGCTTGGGTGAGAAGACAGGATCCCAATAAGAACTGGAGGGAGGTTACATTTCATTGCATTCAGTTCTTCCCAGCTTCCTGACAACCAAGACACACAAACAGGCCAGATGTCACAGGTCCCACTGTGACTGAACTTCCCGACATTAAACTCTACAAGAAACAAACTGGATGTGAAGAAGTTCACACTGCGACACATCACCCAGAGGCAGCTGTCAGATGGGGCTGTCTGGGCAGTCACCAGCCAAGTCCCTCCCAAAGCTGCAAGCTCAGCAGGAGCCTCGGAAACTGAGGACGAATCTTCCGCCACCACCGCCAGCTCAACGGTTTCCTCCACTTCAAACCTCCCCTCAGGGTCTGCTAAGAAG